CCGAGTATATAGACTTTGCTCTGCGGTTGAGTGGATCTGCTTTCACTGTGGGTGTCGCGGAGAAGAAACACGGCACTAAACCAGAGCCAGAGTCTGCTCACGTCATGTCTGCCAAGCCACAGCCTGCTCACGTCATGCCTGCCAAGCCACAGATGTCAAGTCTGTGTATCTTGTTTGGATATTGTTTGGATCACTCTGTAAATAAACTGCACTTGGGTTCTTCACTACACTCGCCTTCAGTGGACTGATTCGTTACAGGTATTTATTTATGTTTGTTAATATTGTTCTTTATTAGTTCATGTTATCCTATATGGCAAGAATGAATGAAAAGTATTTTCAAAATTGAAAATATACTAAACTTTTTTTTTACATTTATTTTCAATAATATGAAAAAATGGCCAAAACATTCGTAGAAAATATATATATATTAGCAAATATAATCTTGGCCACTTTTTGTATATTTTCATATGTATACATGTAAAATACATATATAAATATTAAATAATATTAACAGATGCAACACTTGAGTTTAATAATGTATAAATAGTTGGTAAAATTATAATTAAATAAGATTAATAAATACATTCTTTAGAAGTATTTTCCATTATTGTTAACTAACTTATGTTACAAACAAATGTAATATTATTGTAAAGTGTGAACTAAACGAACCCACAGCTCCCGTCCAACCAACAATAAACCCAGGCTAATATCAAGTATTACAGCATGCCACATAAAGCCAACCTTCATCTTCATAATGATGTTTAGACTGGGATTCATAACACAAATGACTAATCATCAGGTTACACACATTACACCGTCTGTCCAAACACTCTGCACTAATGCATGATGGGATACGACTGACAGATCACCCGGCTGTGCACTGTGAAGTGGACTTAAACGGGTTCCAGATCATAGGGAGCGAGTGCTGCTAATGGCATATAGTGAACAAGTGTGCATCGACAGACCACTTCAGGGAAAATGAGCATCAGCAGCACCTAAAATAAGAGAAAACTGTCTTATTATGTCACTTAATTCACCTCAGATACACACGTGCACAGCCGAGGTGACCACTAACCAGAACTAGTCCTGAGGTGAGTTAAGATCTCCAGATGTGACACCATATCATCACCACAGCTCACGAAACAGTTAAGATTAAATTATTTTAATGTATGCAGCAATCATATTTATTTACACAAGTATATGTTGTTATTATTGCTGAAACTCCAAATCTGCATGACGATCAAATGTCGTCTGTGACCTTGTTGGAACGTAGGCCTAAAGTTATGATATATGCATTTGAATTGCATATGTAACTTCTATTGGTTTGGATTACAGATGAATAAATGAAACAGCTCAGATTTTGCTAATAGTACTTATACACTGAATGTGTGTTAAATGCACAGTAACCATATTTACATATTTATCATTGATAATTATGAATTGTTTGGATCTCATACATTTTTACTGAACTGAATACTGCTATTTATTTATATTTTAACAATGTCCATACTTGTTAACTTAATAAACTACTTGTTTTCACAATGAACAGATTTATGTTGATTCTAAGTATGAATACATGCATTTTGAAAACAAGATTATTTAAATTAAACAATATGGTATTATATGATATTATATGATATTATATTATATATTATATATTATATTATATTATATTATATTATATATCTACATTAATATATTTTCTTCCACAGCATGTTTTGGCCATTTTACATTTTGGCATATAGCGTCACTGTTTTCAACATATATTTAGCATTTATTTAAAATATATTTTGACCAGAGAAATGCTGTATAGGAAACCAATGATAATATAATATACTTTTTTTTTTTTTTTTTACTCATTTATGACTAACAAATATGCATCACATTTAGTTTATTACTTTAATTTAAAATGCATGGACATTTTATATGCAATTCAAATAGATATATCTTAAATTTAGGCCTTTTTTGGAGTGAATCGTTGTTTCTTTACTGAAGTATGCATTATTATGGATTATGGACTATATTTTGGCCAGAAGCAATGATTCAAAATTGCAAACGTCTTAATGATGGATATGTTTCAGCTTTTGTCTTCTCCAGATGTTAACTGATGGACTGGAGTGCTGTGGATTACTTGTGGATTATTGTGATGTTTTTATCAACTGTTTGGACTCTCATTCTGACGGCACCCATTCACTGCAGAGCATCCGTTGCTGAGACACTGATGCAATGCTACATTTCTCCAAATCTGATGAAGAAACAAACTCATCCTAATCTCGGATGGCCTGAGGGTGAGCACTTTTTCAGCACATTTTTATTTTTGGTGAACTACTCCTTTAAGTGTCCCCTGCTGAGTGTGTAGGGAGCAGAGAACACTTGAAGCAAATCTATAATTAACACTAATTAGGAAGCATATACTGCTGCGCATCTCAGAGCGTGTTGGCATTCACCAGCATCTCACACCGTCATTTCCATTCCTCCATGGGCGCTGAAGTCATTGATTTTAAAGTGCATTCTCATGGATCAGCGAAACCCGGCTCTGCCCAAACTCTATTATCCTATTAGCCCCTCAGAGACACATGTGCACTATCCTGCGTGCCCCTCTCGATGTGAACCGACTCCAGCAACAAAAGCCATCTAGTTGATATTACGCCCACCATCTCAACGCGTGACCCGCCAGTCAGATCGGCTCTGAGCAACAGCGGCCCACAGTAAACAATGCTTAGATGTTTTCCCTCATGACATTTGCACATTATGACTCATGGTCATGCAAAGCTCTGGTTAACCCACACTACACTACTAGAACGCCACTAGTTGCTTAGTACACGATGTGAATACAGGATAAGGAGAGGCTACAGCTCGACATATGCAGATTTCAGACACTTGCTGTGACATTTGCAACCATGATGACACATTAAACAGCATCCGTACAGCTTTTCGACAACGTTTCTCCGATGCAAATTAAAATGCATGAATGTCTCTCCATGCTACTTCCATTAAATGTGTGAAAAACCCAATGGATCAACTGTTTAGAATGCAAAGCATAATTTTTGCCTCTAGATTGGGAATAACGAAGCATTTCTACAACGTTTCTTTAATGCAATGCAATGACTCCCATTAAATGTAAGGAAACCAGTTGGATGAACTGTTTAGTATGCAACTGGTACATTTGCAATAGATATACTTGCTATTTGCATTATTTTACCTTGTGGATTAGGAATATTAAGGCATTTCTAAAATGTTTCTTCAGTGCAATTAAATAACTTCTGTTGCATTCCCATAATGTTTCTTTAATGCAATGCAATGACTTCTGTTGCATTTCTACAGGGTTTTTAATATGTAATCCAATGACTTCAGTTGAATGTGAGGAACCCAATGGATGAACTGTTTAGCATGCAATGGGCACATTTGCATTATTTTTCCTTGTACGTTGGGGATATTGAAGCATTTCTACAGTGTTTCTTAAACACATTGCAATGACTTCCATTAAATGAGGAAAACAAACGGAAGAACTGTATAGCATGCCATATGTACATTTGCAATATAGATATACTTGCTATTTGCATTATTTTACCTTGTGGATTGGGAATATTAAGGCATTTCTACAATGTTTCTTTAATGCAATTAAATAACTTCTGTTGCATTTCCACAGTGTTTGTTAAATGCAATGTAATGACTTCAGTTGAATGTGAGGAACCCAGTGGATGAATTGTTTAGCATGCAATGGGCACATTTGCATTATTTTTCCTTGTACGTTGGGGATATTGAAGCATTTCTACAGTGTTTCTTTAATGCAATGCAATGAATTCCATTAAATGAGGAAAACAAATGGATGAACTCTTTAGCATGCAACATGCACATTAGACATCATGGTTATTTGCATTCATTTTTCTTGTGGATTAGGAATATTGAACTATGTCATGCAATGTAAATGCACATGATGACTCAATTTTACACCTAAAAAAAAAACTTTGCAGTTAAAACGATTGTGTTTTCTAATTCTAAAAGGTTCAACTGTCATTTCCAATGAATCAGTTGTGGATCTGGTGTTTATAATGCATCGTTTTTCCTTCTAAAAACCTGTGGATCGGTTGTTGGGAAGATCTCGCGCTGGATGGTTTGTGAAATGGCACCTGTTCACATGCACACACGGAATGTTGACTGGCATATAAATGCATCTGTATGAGCTGCTGGCACTTACCATACACTCCCTGGCATGAGATGCCCTCCAAAACGAGCGTCAGGAACCCCAAAACACTAATAATCCCATCCATCCTTACGTGCCTTTCAACATATCCAGATTAAAGCGCCGGAGTCTCTCCAGAATGTGGAAGAAAAGCCGCAGATGTCACGAACCGCTGGGAAGCGAAGTCAACGCATCAGACCCGCGTCCTCGCAGGGGTTCGTGATGATGAAGCGGCGCTTCGCTGAGGACGAGTGTTTATTCGCTAGCTCGGATGAGGTCCGGTGGCGGTCTGTCTGCGGCTGGCATCGCTTCATCAGATCCGAGCTTCTGAGCGTCTCAGTGATGCTGCTGATGCTCGTGCGCGCGCCGCATCAGGACCAGCGGCGTCGGGGACGAGCAATGCGCGTGCACCAGGCTGTCCGCCATTGCTCCGAGCAACATCTGAACTCTTCGGTGGGGCTCCGTCGGAACCGGACTCAACCGAACCGAGTCCGATGCGTTCGTACCGTCGCGTTGCGCAATAAGACACACACACACACACACACACACACACACACGTGAAATAATAACACAAGTAATGTTAATGACTAAATTCACCAAACCCTAAAATAAGTTTTTGCATGTTTAGAACGACAATTATTTGATTTTTAATCATTTATTATTGCTAAAATGTTCATTTGATTGTTTGATTGCATCTTAAAAAATGTCACCTTCATGGATGTCACCAGGGCGAGACCCACAAAAATATAGCTATTTTATTGTTAATAATAAATGTTTATAGCACAACGATAATGATTTATTTTTAAAAAATTAAAACATTTAAAAAAATACCAAATAAATTATTTGTCATATGTGACCCTGGAGCACAAAACCAGTCATAAGGGTTTCTTCATCATCTGAAAGCTGAATAAATAATCTTTCCATTGATGTATGGTTTGTTATGATAGGACAATATTTGGCTGAGATACAACTATTTGAAAATCTGGAATCTGAGGGTGCAAAAAAATCTAAATATTGAGAAAATCATCTTTAAAGTTGTTCAAATGAAGTTCTTAGCAATGCATATTACTAATCAAAAATTAAGTTTTGATATATTTATGGTAGGAAATTTACTAAATATCTTCATGGAACATGATCTTTACTTAATATTCTAATGATTTTTGGCATAAAAGAAAAATCTATAATTTTGACCCATACAATGTATTGTTGTCTATTGCTACAAATATACCCCAGCGACTTAACACTGCTTTTGTGCTGCAGACTCACAGATATAATTACATATAGACCTTTTTTTAATCGTAATTTTACGATTAAATTAATCGATTTTGCTCACTTCTAAGAGTAATTTTGTCCCAAAAGCATCCACTTAACAACTTTATTGTTTTAATATTATTTTCATGTTTTATGTTTTAATATCACGTCCTTACACGTGCACTTACAATGAGAAGAAATATCGATATGAGAAAAAGCAGTAGTTTTATTCGCGTTATTTTTGACATAAGCGTCATTTGTAACTTATATGTGCGCGATTTTATGTCATTCGCTTCCAGTTACTTTAAGTGGTACAATTTGCTGCAAAAAAATATTATTGTAATAAATTGTTGTTATTAGCATTTAAACGAGAGAAATATATATTTCTGCGAATGACACATAAAATTGCGCACATATTGTCACAGTCTTCAGCGGGTGTGCCCAGGAGGGTCACCAGATGACTGTGTTCTGGGAGCACATGGCTTGTGTTGTGTTTGTCTGTTGCCATGTGCTCTCTCCTGTCTATTGTCTGGCCCCTCCCATCTTGTTACCTCGTTATTGTTTAAGTTGCTCCACCTGTGTCTCCCTCGTTAGCCTCCTCGTTTGGTTTCCTATTTATTCTCCTGGTGTCTGTCATCCTGTGCTGATCCGTCATTTCTCATTGTGTGTGTTTCGTGGTTTGAGTTTGTTTTTGTTTCATTTTTATTATTAAAATAAATAACCATTTCTCCTGCAATTGAGTCCTCGCTTCATCTCCCCGCACGCACCGTGACACTA